CCCACAGGCACACACACCCCACGCGCACATGCCCACAGGTACACGCTCCCCCGCGCGCCCACAGGTACACGCTCCCCCACGCCCACAGGCACACACACCCCACGCCCACAGGTACACACACCCCAAGCCCACAGGCACACGCTCCCCCGCGCGCCCACGCCCACAGGCACACACACCCCACGCGCACACGCCTCGCAGGTCACACGCACCCCACTGTACACACAGCAGGGCCAGGACGGGCCGTCTCCGGGCAAAGGCTGGGCTGGCGTGACGTGCGCACAGGTCCAATCCGGCCCCAGGCAGCTGGCGCCCCGCCTGGAGCTGAGATAAGGCCTCCCGCCCAGGGCCGGCGCTCAGGCTGCCTGGACACAGGCTCAGGGCCGCAGGGGACAGCAGTGCGGGTCCCCCGGCTCCCTCAGGTTGCTGGCCCAGCACTGCTGCCCCACGCCGGAGCCTCCCTCCTGAGGCCGGGCCGGGGCCTGGGGCCACCATGCTGCTTCCCGCCCTCCTCCTGGGGCTGGGCTGCCTGGCCCACGGGTGAGCAGCCCAGCCCGGGCCTCCTGCCCCCGCAGGGCCCTGTGGCAGCCACATTCCCTGCCCGGCTTCCCGCCCGAGCGCACCCCAGCCTGGCTGTCCCTGGGCGGGCGCCTCGGGCTGGGGTCGCAGGGCTGGGGGCGGGGCGGCCGCAGCTGTGCCCCTCGGCAGGCGGTGGTGTGAGCGGACCGAGACCGTGCTGGTGGAGGAGGAGGTGTCGCCCCGCCGGGAGGACCTGGTGCCCTGTGCCAGCCTGTACCACTACAGACGCCAGGGCTGGCGGCTGGCCCCTGCCCGGAGCGCGCCCGCCGGCCTCTGCCCCATCTACAAGTGAGCGGGCTGGGGCTGGCTGCTGCCCAGAGGGTGGGGTCGGGGCCTGGAACATGGGTCGTTGGGCCGCAGGGGAAGCAGACGCGGGGGAGGCCTGGCTGGGCTCCAGAAGGACAGTGTGAGAGGGGTTCACCCTGGTGAGGGCAGCGGCTCACCCCCCTCAGCCCCCCAAGAGCACTCGCGCTTTGCACGTGGGGAAATCCAGGCCAGAAGGGGACGGGGTGCGGAAAAGCCAGGGCAGTGGTTGACCGCTGTTCTGGGGCTGGGCGGGGCACGAGCGTCTTCTCCCTGTTCCGGGACCCAGGCCCCCAGAGACCCGGCCGGCCGCGCGGAACCAGACGGCGTGGGCTTGCTGCCCGGGCTGGGGGGGCACCGACTGCGCCTTGGGTGAGCGCCAGGGCGCCCGGTGTGTGGGGCCGCGAGGGGCCAGTGGGGCAGGCTGGGTCCGGAGGTGTGCCCTGCGCTCGCTCTACCCCACAGCCCTCGCCGACGCCAGCCCTCAGGGCCACTGCTTTGCCACGTGGCAGTGCCAGCCAGGGGCCGGCCCCACGGAAGCCCCCGCGGGGAGCCTGCAGGACTGCTGTGCCCGGCCGTGGGCACGCAGCTGGCGGGACGGCCACTCCGGGCTCTGCCTCCGCTGCGCCCGCCAGCGTGGCCCAGGTGGGTGCCCACAGCGGCCTGCGGCAGGCACGTGGGGCCGCTCCAGGCCGGCACCTCCACCTGCTGGGCTCCCACAGGGCCGGCGCCCACTCCCCTCTCCTCTCGGACGAGCTGCCCTGCCACCGGCCTGACCGTGGGCAGGCCCTGTTGACCGCCTCCCGCCCTGCTCGGAGCCCAGGGCTGGCATCCTCCGCCCTCCTGCCCCACACTCTGGGGCTCACGCTGGCCCGTCTCCCCAGGTGACGCCCCCTCCCCAGCCCCCCTGCGGCCCCTGGCAGGGGCGGTGGCCCATCTCTGGAGCCAGCACCAGCGCCCCTCGGCCACCTGCGCCGCCTGGTCAGGCTTCCACTACCGCACCTTTGACGGGCACCATTTCCGCTTCCTGGGCCGCTGCTCCTACCTGCTGGCGGGCGCTGCTGACTCCAGCTGGGCGGTCCACCTCACACCTCGGGGGCACTGCCCCCGGCCTGGGCACTGCCAGCTGGTGAGGGAGAGACAGGGGATGGCCACGGGAGGAGCTGGACTGGGAGGAGGACAGCCCCACTGACGGCCTCTTCCGCTGGGCCTCTCCCCCAAGGCCCGGGTGATGATGGGGCCCGAGGAGGTGCTGATCCAGGGCGGGGCAGTGTCCGTGAACGGGCAGCTGGTGCGTGAGGGCGAGTCTCGGCTGCTCCCAGGTAAAGGAGCTGGGGGCCAGGAGTCAGCTACCAGGGCAGTGGGGGGCAGGGGGGGGCCGGCTGCCGTCCACACCCACCGCACTGCTGTGGCGGCCAGGCCAGGAGGCCGTGCACTCAGCCCTTCCCCCCACAGCCCGGGCCTGCTGACCGCATCACAGGTGGCCTCGACCAGGCCCTCACCTCACTGTTCCCACCTGTTTCCCGGGGTGCAGTGTGGAGGAACTTCTGTGCTAATGATGGGGGGCTCTCCCCCAGCAATGTTGGTGCTGGCTGGGGCCCCTAGGGTGAAGTGGGGCTCCCTGTGGGTGTGCGTGTGTGCACATAGAGTCATGCGGGTGACTCTAGCTTACCCTCTCGGGGTTCCCAGCACCCGACTTCTCAGAGGTCTGGTAGCTGGCAAGCCGCACCCGGGGGTTCTCTCCAGCTTGGAATTCCTTGCCCTCCCCCGAGCCTGGTGTAGGTGGCAGCCTGGCAGCCTGGCCCTCCCCCTGCCCAGGACTGAGCCTGCAGTGGCAAGGGGACTGGCTGGTGCTGTCCGGGGGCCTGGGGGTCGTGGTGCGGCTGGACAGGTCCACGTCGGTCTCCGTTTCCGTGGACAGCGAGCTTCAGGGACAGACCCAGGGCCTCTGCGGGCTTTACAACGGCCGACCTGAGGGTGAGTGGGGTGCAGGCAGAGGGCAGGGGAGACTGGGCCCGGACCAGACCCTGCCTTCTCCTCCCAGATGACTTCCTGGAGCCCGGCGGGGGGCTGGCCGAGTTAGCTGCCGCCTTTGGGGATTCCTGGCGGCTCCCTGACTCTGAGGTGAGCACTCCTCTCTGCCCCCCCCAGCACCCCCCATCCCCGGCCTCCTAACACCCCAGCCGGCCTCTGCCTCCCCCTGCTGGCCTGTCCTCCGGAACAGGGCTGGCTCTCCCCTGACCTCAGGGGCGCTGAGGCAGGCACAGCGTCCCGTGGGAGCTGCGGGGGAACCGCTGCCCACACACACCCCTGCTGCCCGCCAACCACCCTGAGCTGACCTGGTCACCCAGCAGCTCAGCTTAACTAGCCCGCGCGCTCCCCTGACCCAGCCGGGCTCATCCGTTTGCTGACCCCACCGCCTGGCTAGCGGCTCAGCGTGGTGGCCCTTCTCCTGCTGTCCTGGTTAGTGTCCCTCACCCCTGCCCCTGGCCCGACACCAACTGTCCCCAGCCGGGGTGTCTGGAGGCGGTGGAGGCCGCCCAGAGCTGTGAGGAACCCCCGAGGGTCACAGAGGCGGAACTGGAGGCCGGCGGGCTGCAGACTGAAGCCCAGGACGTGTGCCGTCCACTGCTGCACGGCCCGTTCAGGGAATGCCACGCCCAGGTAGGGAGGATGCAGGTGGCATTGCACACTGCTGGGACTGGGCAGAACCGGGTGCTGCTACCAAGCTGCACCAGGCTGCAGGTGAAATCTGCCCCTGGGTTTGGTTTTGCCTCTGGGGCAGGAGAGGTCTCCCAGTGCTCTCCGAGGTCCCTCTGGGCTTCCTTGTATAAACGCAGCGGGCTAGAGGGGGTGGGGGTGGGCACGGGAAAGGGCTGGCAGGCTGAGGGGCTGTCCTTCCTGGCAGGTGCCCCCTGCTGCCTACCACGAAGCCTGCCTGTTTGCCTACTGCGCTGGGGCCTCAGCCAGCGGGGGGCCTGAGGCCCGGCGGGATTCCGTGTGCGCCACCCTGACACACTACGCGCTGGCCTGTGCCCAGCGGCACACCCCGGTGCGCTGGCGGAAACCCGGCTTCTGCGGTAGGGCCCCTGCCGGTTCCTCTCCCTGCCGCGCTCAGGCGGGCCCTCCCCACCCGGCCCCCC